AAAAAAAAACATTTGTCATTTTCACAGCTTAAGCATGTTGCAGCTCTAAGTCGCTGTTAATGCTAAAAATCTTTTATAAAACCAAATTTCTAGGTATCAGTAATGCGACTGATAAGTTGATGCCACAAATGCCAATGAAAATCTATACATCGTTGTCAGAAGAGTTATCCGCAACCCATTCATCTGACTCGTCACTTATCATAATGGATTTAATTGGCTAGTTCTCAAAACTAAGAATTGCTGATAAAGTTGAAGACAAACAAATGTGAAAAAATAAAAATCTTGAAGTGCTTCTTCATAAAATAAGAGTCAAACTTTTATCGTATACAGCCGTAATCTTGTTATTTGTTACTTCTAACATACAGTGATGACAAATTTGTTCAATGTGATACCATACCATAAACACAGTAGATATAAATACTTACATTTTTACAATCTTCTCATTGAAAAATGCCTGCATTATTCATTTATTCAAGTTTTACACCTCTTTTTATCTAACAATTGAAAAAAAATGCTTTTGAATTATTCGTTACTTAGTAGAAACTTGTATCAGATCAAGATCTGGCAACTCTTCAGCAGGATTATCGTATAGCATAATGCATTACGCAATAAGTACTCAAAAACTCCTGTAACTTAAACCAAAAAAGAAAAATTTTGATTCTCTAATGTTCTTCTACATTTTTTCTTATCCAAACAAAAAATTGAACTACTTTTAGTTTGTAAACTGTTGTTGTTTAATTTTAACCATTATATCAATGTTGAAGTGATTTTTTTGATATATTCACGCTGTGAGATATCCTGGTATCATACTTTGTTATGCCAACTCTAGATTCTATCATGTCCACTCATTTTTTAGCAAATTGAAAAAATTTTTCCTCTCTTGCGTCTTTAACAACCACAAATTCTGTTAAAAACTGCTACGCCGCTCAGAATTCTCAAGAAGCAAACAATCTTAGCGTTTTTAACTAATAAACAAGTTCAAAACATGTCCAAAAACTATTTATTATCATTTGATACTAGTTTGCATTTGATAGAACAGAATAAAGTTTATAAAACTAATGTAAAAAACGAAGTAAAATAATAAAAAGCTGAACAAAGTATGACGCACCTTGAACGACACGACATTTTCCACCGAAACGGCAGTTATATTCTCTTTGTTCCCATATGCTGAAAAAAGAAGTTCAAAAGTTTTGACCACTTTTCCGTTTCATCTTTAAGAATTTTATTCCTAAGCCATAATTTTTATTATCGAAAAAAAAATGATTTATAATCAAATAAATTTGGCGCAAAAACTGAGTGTAAATTTTTGAATGTGCTATGCAAAAAAATTGCCTTAAGATTACCTTCGACGAAAGAATCCTTTACAACCGTTACAGGCAACTGTTCCGTAGTGTCGTCCGGCACGGGCATCACCACAAACGCGACATTTCATAGCTTAAAACATTGACTATAGCTCAACAGCCAGAAGCGTAATCATCGCTATGTATCCAAAAAAAAGAAAAAAAAGAGATATTGATAAAGTTCAAAATTAATAATGTAATTTGGATAATAATATGCGTAGTCCAGGTTACAAAAACAACATTATATGCCATCAAAATAATAATTTATCCTGAAAAAAAGAAACGATTTTTTTAGCGGAAGAAAAAATTAAGCAAGCTATTACAAAACGCTACGTTCAAAACGGAAGCAAACCAGGGTTCTACACTTTTTATTTTTATTATTATTATTAATGTTATTATTATTATTGTTATTTTTATTTTTAGTATTATTATTTTTATTAATATCATTGTCATTATCATTACCGTTGTCGTCACTTCGTTATTATTATTATTATTATTATTATTATTGTTATTGCAAAAAAACCAAAAGAAATTCAAACTTGAATTATTGTTTTTAATTACCAATAAAGCTGAAACTTTGATAATTTTACATAAAAATCAATTTTCCTTTTCTTTCTTTTTTTTTCGTTTTTTTTCTGTTAAATGGTATACATTCCCAGCATCTTTT